TCTGGATATTTTCCTTCGAAATCTTTTTTAGAAAGTAAATTCCCCACAACACTATTTTTTCTTGAAATCCTCATCATTATCATTAATAGCACGACAGCCCAGTGTGAGCCAAGGCTTTTCTTTGAAGAGATTTCAGTACATTTCTCTGGGTGTCAAGGGTCCTCCCTGTGGCTTTGCCATAACGAGAATCTTTATAGGGTTTAAATCTCTCATTCTAAATACACGAGCAGCCCAATTTAATCTATGGATCTTAATAAATTTTGCAATATTCTCTTGAAATAGTCTAGTGATTAAGTCGAATAAAATACTTTAATTAAATTTCAATAAGCTTTTAAATTAATTGAAATTTTACATCTGCATAATTTCTACATTTTTTTAGCTGTTGGTTAAAACAACCCTATTGAAAACAAATCTGTGAAAGGTTTTCTTTGCAAACATTTCTTACGATTTTTTCCAAATTTTGCTAAATTTGTGATTTGTCTAGTTTCCATTTTTGAATTTCCCCCCTTCCCTTTATATCATACTTATGTAAGCATATGTACCTTTATGCAGCGTAAGTTCTGAGTTCTATTTAATCAGCTTAGAATGAAATGAAAGGGTGTCTGTCTTTCGCCACGCACGAGTGAAACTTTCTTCAACTTTCTGACGATGTCGCCGTTTCTGCTCTATGCAGATAACTTTCTGACTGTTTTTATGTTTCGAAAGATTATTGGGCTGCCAGATGAAAACTTTCTAACAGTTGTCTGGCTTTGAAAAGAAGCAAAATATTACTACTTTGAGATGCTACTTTTAGACACTTTCTAAATTTGGATGCATGCATATATACAGGGTGATTATAGTTATAGTCCCACATTCAAAATGCTGTAAAAAAAGAACCACTCAACACAATAAGTTAAGCTTGAACTGAAGATAATTGAAGGGGGAAACGGTACTGCACCAAAAAAGCTCCACAGATTTTTCCCATCCAATATGGTATGACCTTGTCGTGGTGGATGGGCTTTCCACTCCCTGTGTCACAACTGTTGAATGACTTGAAAGCCATTTTTTTCAGTCAAAAAACTGAAACAATCCAGCACATTGAACACTACAGTTATCTTATTTTGCACTCGTGCCAAATGGCACAGGTAGCCGACTTTCTTGATGCAGCTTACAGCGTCATCAATTACTACAATTTTGAAGTTTTTTCCCCTTCTTCAAATATCTGCGGTTCAAATTTGAACTCATTGGGACGAGTGCTTCTTTTTTGACAGCATTTTAAAAGTGGACTTTAATTATTTAATTATATTATAATATATGTAATGAGAAAGGCCAGTGCTAAAGAAACGGAAATGACGTCAGAACGTGAGATGCCACTCAAGTTTTTTCATTCTAAGGAAGGTTTTGTGGAAACACGTATTGAATTGCGCTAAGCCTATTATTGGATAGTTTATAGTGACGCATTTATTGTTATACAGTAACCATGGCAACCTTTTATTTCTACATATCATAAGATTATTTTGATGCGGATCTGAAAAAGGTTGTTAAAAACTAAACAGAGGTCTCGTAAATCATTTTCTATTAAGAATGATTTCAACATTTCGTGCTATCCAATGCTAAATAATTACGCGTCTGTTTATTTTATTGTGGATGTTTTAGAATCAAACTAAAGGTTTTATTTTCCCAAGACCAAAATACAGTTATCGGGCGTGATACTGATATACTGGTTGTGGTTTGAAAAATAAACATTGTTATTATTTTCTATTTTTAACAGTAATAGTCCAATTATTTTTTGAAACGTGGATTTTATTCAAAAAGCTTTTAATTTCCAAACTTGCAGTTTGGAAATAGAGTTCTATTTTTAAATTATAGGTTACCAGAATTTTGAAGTTTTATTTAAAACATTAAATGGATTTGATTTCTTAATTGGACATGTTATAATAATTATAATTTCTCAATAATTTAAGAAATGGCCTTCAAAATAGTTTGAAAAATATTTTTATATACTTTATTGATTTCATTTGTAAGAATCCATTTAAATTGTTATATTTGACAAAAAAAAAAAGTGGAAATTTTTATTGAACGTAAGAGTTTTATAAAAAAATTAATTTAAAAATCATTTTTAAATCATTTGTCCGAAATAGAAACGTGAAATATGTTGTATGTTTTATAAAAATTCATTTTCAGTGTTTGGGAAATCAATTATTCAATCAATCAATTATATTACTATAATAGTTATGGTAGAGACGGGGTAGCCAAAATCACAGAAATTCAACTGAGAGTTTTCAAAGTATGAATTTAGTATTCTTGTAGTTTGGGATTCAACAGCTGTATCTCCACTTTACATGACTCTAGATACAAACTCAAACTATGTTTTCGAAAGCTAAAAGGCCCAATTTTAACAATAAAAACATTTCAATATTTTTCACTAAAATCGTAATTTTGACATCTACCGACATCTATCTGTTATCATCGATAGATGTCAGTTTGAGCGGCCTGGTGGCCAATTGGCAAGCGCTGTGACCTTTGATTCCCCAGACTTTTTGTTCGAATAATGACGGTGACATGGATGTTTGCTGGTGGTTCGGAATCCACGTTAAACTGTAGGTCCTGGTCTGTTTAGTCCTCGGGTGTACAAGATGACCATAGAGCGACAAACTAAACCAATCTGGTAATTTTGAAAACGATATTGCACAACAGGTGACACATATGCGAATACTTTTTTCTCCTAAATTTTCTTATCTTTTCCTCCTTCTTTATGCTTTCACAACCTTCGTATGATTATTGAACGCCCCTCAATTCTTGTCTATGTTCCAGGAGGCTGTATTTCCGAGATTGGAAACCCGTCTTTTAAGTGTAAAAATATTCCCATGTCCCAGGCAAAAATATCTTAACATAATGGATTTGAAATAACCATCTGGCATTACGATAATAATGACGCAAGCATAGAGTGAAATTGAAGGCCACATTTTGCAATTATTCTGTTTAAACTGTCAAACACACACATGAAGTTTTCCAAATCTTCCAGTTCATAGAAATCTTACTCGGGTACAGATTCTTGTCAACGTGTGTTTACACAAGTTCGCACTCATCATTCCAAAACTGTACAAGGGCATCTCATCTCCAGGGCGCAGAGATGCTGCATGGTGTAACAACGGAAGGAAGAGTTCAGATACAAACGCATACACAGTAGAATTATATCGATTGCAGCCCCACCTACCTAGTCTCTTTGTGAATCTAAATCCTCCAGGGACCCACTGAAACACACACAAAAGGTTTCATCCAAATCGGTCAGCCGTTTAGGAGGAGTTTAGTGACAAACACACGTACAGAAACAATATATATATATATAACAGATTAAATTCATAGCTCATTCGTACAATTATTTTGCTCAGTGTACGCCATTAAAAATGTTTATCGTAAAAGAGGGTTTTCAATCGAGTCTTTCAAGATCCTCTAAGAAGTAAACTGAGTATTACTTTTGTGCGTCATTTTTGCAGTCAATATTTGCGGGACTTTTGGCAGAACGATGGACCCTGTCAACCTCTTACCTTCAACATTCCCTTAGAATATCTCCCTGTTTTTATTTGTTCCGTCGATACGTTGGAAATATTTGCGAACGCCATCATTTTATCAAACGGATTCCGAGTCAACAGTCGATTGGCCCGCGGGTTTTTGTTCCTCTCGCTTCGCTTGATTCTGCCTCCAGTTCGTTTGCGAAGAATCTTCCTCCGCGTAGTGATTTGAATTCGATTCTGTTATTTTCTGTGCATGTTTTCAATCTCAAATCATACAAAAAAGGAATAATTTCGGAAACATTTTATATTCAAATAGTGCAAACGAGAATTGGGAAACATTCTCTAAATATAACGATTTTTGCCAATACGAGTTGATATCCATATAAGATTATTTCTAATTTTTGTTGTAATAATAGAAATAGCTAATTAATTTTAAAATTATGAGCACTTTAAGGGAAGGGAGTGTGGACGAAGTGCAGTTTAATGTGTGTTTCTTACAGAGAGCATAATTTTATCATTATATCTTTCACAAAATAGAATATGTGCATGTGTATTGAAATGAGGAAATACCCTTGTTTTTAATCGATTTTATTGTATTATAGAGAAAGGGCCCGAATGGCCGAGTGCTAGCGATCTAGAGCTCGGTACTACAGGTGTGCCATGGATGTTTATAATGGTTCGGAATGTGCTTTAAACCGTAGGTCCCGGTCTAATAGGATCATAGAGCGTTGCGGAGGAAGTGTTACTCTGCGTCCGTAGCTTATCTTCAAGCTAATAATAACGTCGGTGCGGCGCTTGCCTTAAGGCAAAGAAGACAACTGTTTGCCAGCCGCATGAGAACAAAAATATACTTTTCTAAGAATAAGACTTTGATAACATAATAAATATCACAAAGAAGTAAGATAACATTCCTAATTTTCTAACTAATTAAGAATAAGCTTTGTATCGGAAATTTTTATAACAATTGTTTTTAAATAATCCTTAAACTTCTATTGCCTTTGTGTTTACAGAGGAAAAAAATTAACAAATGATAATATTCTTCGCTAAAAGTGATATTCTTTTGAAAACAAAACTTTAAAAATATTCAAACAATGTAACAAACATTTTTTAAAAGCACAAAACAGTAAATAAATTTTATCATCAGAAAATTTAATTTAAATCAGAATCATAAAGCAAATATTAATGAAAATTTTAAAATAAATCAGAATTATGTTTTGTTGTTGTTGTTGTTTCTTATCCCACTTGGCTGGCCAAGCCCACGAGCCCATATTGGACTCATGATTGAAGGGGAAGGAAGCAGCTTCTGTTGTGATGGAGCACCCGTAGGTAGAAGCCTGACTTTTGCTCAGTGACGCTCTTACAGTCATAGGAGACCGGGACCTACGGCTTAAAGTGGATTCCGAACCACTACAAACATCCATGGCGCCGCCGGGATTCGAACCCGAAACCTGTGGCACCGAGCGCCAGAGCGCTAGACACTCGGCCATTCAGGTCCCCAAATTTGCCAACGGCACGCAGTGTTCCCAGGTGGTCACCCACCCAAGTACTGACCGCTCCCAATGATGCTTAACTTCGGTGATCTAACGAGAAAATCAGAATTATAAAGCAAACATTAATGAAAATGAATATTTAAAGCTATTTATGATTCTTCAAAAGATAATATTCAATTTCTTAAATGTATTTCGTGACAGCAGACATTCCAAACACCCATTCAGTACCCAAAATACTCTGTCATAAAGTGTCTCGCTCAGCTGCATCAGCAGTATCTGCCCATATATAGAAGGTGACTCATATATTACTGTACATATGAGTCTGGGTTCCATTATAGCAAATGGCGGCCTAGCTTTACGAGTGAAGCCCCGACTGCAGTTCAGAACTGCTAGTATCTTCTCATCTCTGTGCAGTTTGAAATATGTGTCTGGCATCTTTGCGAGACGCGCGTTGGATCTTTCAGGCTCAGAAGAGGGCCTTTTGAAAGAATACAGTTTTAAAGTTTTATTTCGGTACGCACAGCCACTCATTTAAGCGAATAGAAACTTAGAAATTTTCCATAAAAATAGTTTATAAAAGCTAAGAATACAAAAATTTATTTTCTTTAATCATAAACCTTCTATATTTATAAATATGTTCTTGTAGAACCTTGATTTATTATTATAAAAATTAAAATAAAAACTGACGAAAATGCGTTATATGAAAGTCAATGGACACTAGAATCTTTACGGATGAATTCATTCACAAAAGCGTCATCTGGCATATATTTATTTTCCTAATATTTCTTAAATATCGCTGGAAGAAGTTACAATTGCAACTGGACCCTTGTTTGAAAACTCTGTTTCTTTTATCCTACTATCACAACGGATTGAATATCACCCCTTTGATATAAAACAATTGATTTGGATCAGCAGATGAAATTAGAAAAACAGTTATAATTCGTAATAATTAGGTTCACCTCTAAAATTGAAAGATGCGTAAAAAAAAAAATAACAGATGACGCGAAATTCGTAATTTTGAGCTCCAGCATAAAATTTACAGCTGCATACGTTAAATATGCGCATACGCTAAATATACATTAAACACAGCTAAAATACGCGCACTGAAATAATGCCGCTAAATCATGTACTTTATTGACTTCGTCTCCGTATACCACTTCCAAGGTAAATATGTATTAAATTCGCCGCATTTCAAAAAGGAAAGGAGCCGGCCGACAAAAAAGGACAGCAATTCGGCGGAAAACTTTAGTGGCGACTTCATTACTTTTTCTCTGTGGCAATTACCGCGACACTGGGGGAGGGAGGGTGACTGTCATTAGCCTTGTCGGGCACGGATGAGACGCAGATGGTTTCTCTTGTTTGTCGGAGACGGGAAATCCGATGTTTTTGGAGAAGAAGATAGTTTTCGCACTGTTAACAGTGGCAGTGGAATGGGTGTCCATGCCATTTTAAGCGGAATATGTTTGATTTTTGTTTTTCCGGTTCCTGACGGGTTTTCCGCTTTTTTATATATTTTATTCAACGACGACGCCCTCTACTTTGTTTGGGCAGCTTTAAAATTGAGTTTTGGAAATAAGTATTCTGAAGATAGAAAAAAATCCTCCAGATAGAATTGTATACTGCCCATTATACTATAACTTATATAAGTTTATATATATTATATATAATTACATCATCATCCTCAGTGGAGCAACAGTTCCATGGTGGGACAAGGCTGTCTGCCAGCTGGCAGATTTCTAGGAGATGTTTTCTTTTTACGGGGTAGGGTTCTCAGCACTACGCCCAACCCTGTACAGTCATGAAAAACCAGGGGCCTTATGGCCGAGGAGCTAGAGCTCTGGCCCTCGGTACCACAGGTTTCGGAATCGAATACCGGGAGGGTGCCATGGTTGTTTGTAGGGGTTTAGAATCCACTTTAAAATGTATATTCCGGTCTCATAGGACCGCAGAGCGTTATAGAACCCAATCAATCTTCTGACACACATCATTTCCCAAACTGTAAAGGGGCCACTCAGCTCTAGGCACAGTTATGTGGTATCGTGTAGTAGTAATTATAGTCATGTGATACCGGGACTTACGGTTTAAAGTGGATTTCGAACCCTTCCCAAGCCTCCATGCCACCGCCAGAACTCGAACCTCACTCGTGGCTCCGAGCACCAGAGCTCTAGCCACCAGGCCATCAGGCTTCATATATTATATATACACTTATATATATGTATATATACTTATATTATATATTGTATATTTCTAGAAATTATATAATGCTGTCTTACCCATACCCAACAAGACTAATGACAGCCCCCCTTTGTTTGTGGCGGTTCGGAATCCACCTTAATACCGTAGCTCCCGGTCTAACAGGATCGAAGAGCGTAGCGGGGGCAGTGTTACTCCACGTTTGTAGCTTATCTTCAAGCGACACGTGCATAGGTAGTGCTAAGCGAGTAACTTCGGCTTGTGCGTGCAGCCGTTGATTATGACGTAAAAGACAACTGTCTAAGTATTTCACAGCTGCATTAGAAATATAAAAGTTATTGAAATTAAGTAGAATAAATAAGTGAACAAGAAATTAAGGTGGTTTGAGGCTCCGATTCCCTTTAGAAGTAGAAACCAAAATAACTTACACTATTTTGACGCAATTCAATGGAAAATATGTGCCTTGATGAGTGGGTAGCGATAGTATTGAAGAAATCTATAGAAAGTTTTGTAATATAGTTATCAATAGGATCAATATTTAAATCTTGATGGATCGTAGAGTTGCGGACAAACTAGAGTGCACCAGTGATGATACGAAGTTTGTTTTGAATAACTTTTACAGATTTTTTTGTTAGATTTTGCAGCATAGACCCCAGATTGGGGAAGCGTAAATAAAGATAGGCCTTAGAACTTCCTTGTAGAAAAGAATTTCGTTTGACAAAGTTAATTTAAAATATTTATTGATGAGTGGCAGAATGAGTTGAAATTTGTTCCTGCATTTTTGTTTGGGGGGGGGGGGGGGTTTTTTTTTGAATATGAGGTCGAAATTTACTGTCTATGATCAAATCGAGATATTTAATATTAATTGCTTATTCAATTTGTTCATCGAAAAGGGAGAGTTTAGTACATGGTTGTCTGGTGTGTCCTTTTTTGGAAAACGATGGCTTGAAATTTAGAGACATTAATTGTTCTGCGTTGTTTAGTTAGCCAATCCCCTAGAGCAGGGGTCTCCAAACTTTCCAGCCTTAAGGCCACACTGTTTACTCCAGTAAGTACCAAAGGCCAAAACTGTTTTAATTTTTCTGCCATTATCTATAATTGCTAGACTAGTCACCAAGTGCGCGCTCTGAGCGAGCGTACGCTGCTAAATTCGCTGGTTCAATTACTACAATTACTATTGTGCGTATCGATACGTATTATACCTACGATTATACTATACCTTTACCTAGAAAGTAAATAAAACCGAGTTATTTTCATTCTGAGTTTTTTTATCCAACTAATTACAGCAACAATACGCTATTCGCTGTCGCGGGCCGGATGGATGACACTGGCGGGCCGGATTTGGCCCACGGCCGTAGTTTGGAGATTCCTGCTCTAGAGTATCCAAAGAAATTTTGAAGAGTTTTGTAGGCGTAGCGAATAGAAGATTTTGATGCCGACATTGATGGCATTGGCATTGTTTTTAGCTGCTAATATAACACATGTATTGAGCCACTGAAGGTTTTTGTAATTTTGTGCGATCTTTGGGGAAACTTTGTGAATTATTTCACCTGTGGTTGTTGTGATATACTTTACAGATGTTTGTTGGCAATGTGATATATTGTATATCGTCATCGATTGCCATTTTACCATTCCCAATATCCAACAATTGTTTTTCGAAATAATCAGCGAATGCATCATTGTAGTTGTGCACGCGTATTGACATTTTTTTGTTTCAACAAGGAAATTGCTACGTTACAGAACCCAGCTTAATAAAAACAAAGCATTTTCACTTTAAGGTTTATTCTGTGTTCTAATTAACTTGCTCCCTTATTCTAATTCAGGAATGAAAGTAACGTTTTCTAGCGAATGTTATTGAATGAAATATTAAAAGAGTTTGAACAAACACAAGATTAATTTACCTTGCAACAATCTAATACCTTATTTGCATTAGAATAGAACTCGTTTCAAGAAACTTTCCATTGCACGTGACATCTTAAGCCTGAAACCAAATATCTACATTTCAAACAGACAATGAACTCGTAATCCTATTCACGCGAAGTGATGTTTGTGTGTATAAAGAAATCTATTTGAATAGGAAAACAAAAGATCCGAGTTCTGTCATACCGCAGCCATCATAATGAAACAATGCCATTTCTCTTCAAATGTGAATGGTGCCGTGTTTAATTCGTTTCGTTGACATAATTTTGATCTGCTTTCAACAATGTTCGATGTGTACCGCGGGTATGTTATTCTAATAATGCTATCAGGTCCAAGTGGTATTTTGAGATCTGTTCTAATATTATTTTAATAGAAAATAACACAACAAAACGTTTATTGATATGCGAAATCTTTATAATCATGGAAATGTAAATGAGCTGTGATTATTAATCTGGTATCTTATTTGCATTAGAATAGAACTCTTTCCAAGAAACTTTCCACTGCATATGACATCTTAAGTCGAAACCAAACATCTCCAGGTTCAACAAACACA